GGTCCTCCGCGCTCACGGGGGCTGGGACGAGCTTCTTGTGCCCGGCCACGCCGCGGCCACCGTGGGAGCTGGCGCGGGGAGCCTGGGGTCCCCGAGAAAAGTCCCTGCGCGCGCGCGCGCGGTGGGTCCGTGGTTTGAAACCCGGGGTGAACGGAAGTCGGGCCTCATTGACACGTCCACACCGCTTAGAACCCATGGCCAGCATTGGCCAGCGGGTCGAGGTCGGCCGAGCCTGGCCGTCTTGGTTCGGGGACACCGGGTCGGGCTGACGGGACACCGGCAGCGGCGTGGCCAGCCTCCCAGGCCTGCGGTGTGGAGAGCCGCCGCTAGGCGCGCCCAAGGCCACTGAGTGCCCTCCGCTTCCCCTCCATAGAGCACTGCCCCCTCCCCAAACGCGCAGGAGAACAGCCGAGCACTCGGCCTTGTCTGTGTGTCTGTGCTGCCGGTTGTCAGCGACTGAAGGACATTTCCACCAACCAGGAAGGCAAGAATGTGGCAGGCCTTAAAAAACAAAAAAACACACACCCACGGGCTAGTTCTACATGGTGGAGAAGGCATCTGTGTGCTCTCCCCATGAGGACTTGGTTGCTTTGGTGTGTGAGACAGGGGGACACACAGCCCCTTCCCCTTCCTGGCAGGGCTGCCCCTTCCCCGGCTCCTCCCTCTGAGATGGGGCACTTCAGCCCTAGCAGGACTGTGCCAGCTTCTGCCTCAGTCAGTTGGGCCAGGCTCTCCTGGCTCTAGAATCTCAGTCAGGTGGGCCTTACACTCAGAATCTCAGTCAGGTGGGACTTACAATCTCCCGGCTCTAGAACCTCAGTCAGGTGGGCCTTACGCTCTCCTGGCTCTGGAATCTACTTGTCTTGATGGACCTTGGGAAACGTGGAATCTTAACTCTTTAGCTCTTTTCATTCTGAAAGTCTTAAGTGTTTTTGAAATGTGAGCTGTAATTCCTAGACAGTATTGCACTGGAAGGCATGCCCCGCGATGGGACTCTGTGCTGTTCTTCGAAAACAATCCAGGGGTTTAGAATACATGCCTAGCATCTCTTCCCTGCATGGTTTCTGTCTCGGGGCAGAAAGCCACCCCTTGCAGTGCTGCACTTGACCGTTCTTTTCCAATATTGAGTAGATATTAAAAATTTGTATGAAGTTCTCATTAATTTACATATGTTCCAGGGTTTTTTTTGGACTAGGGAATGAAGGAATTTTCCTCATAATCAAACCCTTGCATTTAGATGTTCCAAAGCAATTATTCCAGCATCTTTGGATACAAAGTGCAGCTGGTTGCTAGGGCTAATGGACACTCGGTTCTTTCTGTTTTGGGTTCCAGTGGCTGTTCGGTGGTCATTCTCCACCAATAGGACTATCACCCTCCTCCACTGTGGAATTGGTACCTATTTTCCCCCATGTCTGCCCTTCTGGTCTACCACCTCCTGTTGGGAAAAGTTGGACAGAGAAAAGGATGCCTAATTACAAGGTAAATAAGGAAGTACTGTAATTGAATAAGTGAACTTATTATTATTAAGTTGTTGGGTATTACTGTATTAACATAACATGTTTTCTGATTTTAATAGTTTAGCCACATACATATATGGATGTATATATATAGAGAGAGAGAGAGAAAGAGAAAGAGAGAGAAAGATCTCTTCAGAATCAGATTCCAAAACAGAAGAAGAGAGATTGACATTATTCTAGTTTAAAATACTTGGATTCCATAGACAATGTAATAGTTCCAATTTCAAAACCAGAATTTAGGGCTGGGAAAGTGGCTCAGTGGTAGAGCACTTGCCTTGCATGCCTGAGGCCCTGGGTTCGATTCCTCAGCACCACATAAGCAAAAAGAAAAAAAAACTGGAAGTGGTGCTGTGGCTCAAGTGGTAGAGCGCTAGCATTGAGCTGAAGAGCTGAGGGATAGCATCCAGGCCCAGAGTTCAGGCCCCACGACTGGACCAAAAAAACCCCAGAATTTACATTTTAATTTTTGAGGGTTTAAATCTGTAACCATTGACCAAAATCTAGATTTAAATATCTCTATAATACAAGTGTAAAATTTTGAAAGTGAGTTTTTCTTGCTATCACTGCTCTTTTTTTCCATCTTTCAGATGGCTTATTTTGTCTTTTGAATTCAAATTTATTGACTATATTTTGTTTGCTGTGTGTAAAGACACAGTAATATATTGATTTGTTCTACAACACATGAAGTAATGACCCCACTGGCTGGTTTTCCAACCTGTAAACTGGCTGTGGAGTCTATAGTTGAAGACCAATCCTGTCTTTAGCTAGAAGCTTCCAGCTAGGACGTGGTTCCTTGGGAGCTCGTTGCTTTAAGTCTTAGACTTGTGCTTTCATAGAGAATCTAACAGTAGAGCACCCAGCATTTGATCAGCGTCAGATAATATCTCTCTGTGTCTGCCACCCCGTGCCTTGTCTTAAATGTTGTGCTTGCCTTGTTTTTGGACAGATCTTTTTAAACAATCCTTTTGCCCTGGACTCAACATGGTTTCATCCTGAGGAATCAATATTGTTCCATGGTCAGGAAAAGCCTCATTTTCTTGCAAGCCAAGTGGCCCTGTCGCTGTCCAGGCCGGTTCCCGCCTCCAGGCCTCTCCCTGCCGTGATCTTAGCGCCGCAGCCCATACCAGGTTGGTGCCCAAGTAACGATGACCGGATGCCCTTTGTGTTTGTGTTAGTTATGCATTCATACGGAAAGGATCACAAGGACACGATTACCTTAGTAAACACTCATTAGTTGCTTCATTGAATTGTTTTAAAAGACTGAGTGATTGCTTTTGGACTACAGCTCTACTTTTAAGAGGAATGGTGTGGCTGGTGGGTTTGTACAGAACTGTGTTTGCAGAGTGCTAGTTTGAGATTGGACCACATGTCCCGCGGGCTGCCATTGATGAGATCACTTATTAATCAACCCGTCCACTCCCTGAAGTGTTGCTGGTCCGGGGTGCAGTGCATATCAGGGTGCTGGCTGCTCTGCCAGGCACACATAGAACGCTGTGAATTTTGCTATCACATTTGGGGTGACGGTGGAGATGGCTATGAAGATGGATTGTGTTCTATCTTTGGAGTTTAGTGACCTGAAAAAACATTTGTCCTGGAACAGAGTCCTCAGAAAGAACTCCTGGATGAAAGATTGTATAATAAACCTATATTGTAAGAGGAGAAGAAAATCACCTTGTGAAATTTTAAATTGATTTTTAAAATCATCTTAACAGATGATCATATTATGAAAGCAAATGCTGCGGTGCCCAAACTGTCTTGCAGCCCCTTCCATTATGGAATATTTTATGACTTCAGAATTACATTATCTTCCTGTAATTTCCTACCTATCTACCAAGCTTATCTCAATATGTGTCTCTAAAATTCAGTAATAGGAGGTGTTTCTGTGGACCAGGCAGCTCTAGTGCAGGAGACCTATTTGTTTTCTTTGTTCGGATACATGTTTATTACAATTAGCTATGAATCTTGTTTAGCAATAACTCAGGAAGAACAATGTATTTCTTTTAGCTCTTAATGGCTCTTGGCTGAAATTTGCCTTCTTTCTTTGCCATGGTGATTATTGATCAGTTGAGACTTGATGGATCACCATGCATGCATATCTTTGTAGACATTTTATACTAAGATGGCCATCTTTCCTGACTCATTTAATGGCTCTGGAGATGTTTTCTTGTCCTGCGTTATGTGAGGGTACAGTGACTTTGAATGACTCTAGATATATGGGAGAATACTATTTTAATTTCCTAATGCATTGGCCATGACTGTCACCAAAGTTACCAACAAGATTAGTTTTAAAAATAAAGTTTCAGCCAGCACCAGTGGCTCACACCTGTCATCCTAGCTACTTGGGAGGCTGAGATATGAGGATCCTGGTTCAAAGCTAGCCTGGGCAGGAAAGTCTGTGAGACTCTTATCGTCAGTAAACCACCAGAAAACTGGAAGTGGTGCTGTGGCTCAAGTGGTAGAGCACTTGCCTTGAGCTGAAGAGCTGACAGTACCCAGACTTAGAGTTTAAGCGCCATGACTGACAATAAATAAATAAAGTTTCAACAAATCATTTGAGCAGGTTTTCGACTTCTTGGCTCATCACTGAATTTTGTATGGTCATTTCCCAGCATGCTTAGCCTTCCCAGGACTCCCATTCTGTAGGAGGTGCTCGAGCAACTCATGGCCACTTCTGGATTTCCTGTCACGTGGTGATCATTTACTTTCTGTCATAATAGATATTCCATGCTTTATTCAAAGAGCATTCATCAATTTTATGTGTTTGCTTTTGACTTCTCTACTAGGAAGGATAAATAAATAATATTTCTTACAGACACTATCAATATTAGAATAATCTTTCGTTCTAGCCTGGTCTACAGTTGGGTCAAATGTTTGCTCATTTTCATAGCTGTTCTTTGTTTGGTTTGGTTTTTGACTTAAGGATCATAAATGAAGATAGCACAGTTTTATTTGTCTTCTGGGAGAAGCGCAGCAACCTGCAAAGGTAATTTAATAACAATGACTCATTTTGAGATGCTTCACTAAAATTTTTATTATTTCTAATAAATTTCAGAAGTTTTAGAAATTGCCCAGTTTTGAAAAGCAAACATTGAATTTCCCTTAGTTGTTTATGTGTTATTAACTGCTTAGCAGAGAGCTTGGGAGAGTACCAAGGAAAGGTGGAATTCTAGGTAAATCTTAAGTCAGTTAAACATTAAAATACATCATGTTGATTTTATCAGACCTAACACTATGACATTTACATGTAACTTTTAGATATTTTATTAAAATTGCTATTAAATTTTATATCTTATTGTAAGTTGATAAATTCATATATTTATATTGGAATTTCATAGTATGTTACATTAGCGATATAATTACAAATATGCTACATAATTGACATGACATCGATTAATCTTGTTATACATTTTTATATTTAGAAATAAGGGACCTTAGAGTCAGACATTTTTATTGATCCTCTTCAAATTAATCAAAGAAGCATAATTAGAATTCCATAGAAGTGGAAAAGTGAGTCCAGAGTCCTCCCTTTGAACAGACCCTGTGGACTAAAATCACTGTTCTTGGATAAATAGTAATTTTTGTGGAATAGTCACTTCTAAGTATTTTTGAAATGTGCTTTGATCTCTTAGGGATAGTGGCCATTTATGCCATGGACTCAGGGAAGTGTGAATTCAGTGGAAGTGTGCAGCTGGTTTTGTCTGAGTTGACCTTGGCATTTACGACTCTGCGGGACGGGGGCAGATTTTTGAGACTCATTTATCATTGGTTAAGAATAAGCTTCATGGGGGCTAGGAAGATGGCTCAGTGGTAGAGTGCTTGCCTTGCATGCTCGAGGCCCTGGGTTCAATTCTCAGCACCACATAAGCAAAAAGAAAAAAAAAAGCCAGAAGTGGCACTGTGGCTCAAGTGTTAGAGCGCTAGCCTTGAGCTGAAGAGCTGAGGGACAGCGCCCAGGCCCAGAGTTCAGGCTCTACGACCGGACCCAAAAAAAAAAAAAAAAAGAATAAGCTTCATGGTGCAAGAGTCTGAAGAGTATAGCAGGACTTGAATATACTTAGAAAACCCTCTGAAATCTGTTCATCTTCAATGGCCTTTGTTCTTATTCATCTTGAGCTTAAGTGTGAAGATAACAGTGACCTTCCTTCACTATGCTCAGACCTAGAAAAGGACTTCAGCCACTTTCAAGTGTGGAAACTAATGGTCAAGGTTCACCGCCTTTTCTTTACTCATTAGGCAAGTCTCCTTTCAGTAACTCTAGTTACAGGGCCGGAGCTGGGCCCTCCCAGACTCTCACATTGCTCAACTCAACTTCCACAATAAGAGGAGAAAAGCTACAGCATGGTGAGGTGGCTCAGCCAGGAGACACTGATTTCTCCCCTTTTTGGAGAGAGGTGGTGGAGATGAGGATGTCCATCCGGGTTGCAATCTCACAGGGCGGTCCTGTCTGCATCACAGGGCCCTCCCAGGTCAGAGGGACAGGACGGCTCCTTGGGCCATCTCACAACCACACCTCCTAAGGACATCTTTACCTGCGGAGTTGGAGCTCACAAGCAAACAGCCTCCAGCAATGCTGGGGAGCTCATGGTCTGACAGGAAACATCAGGTCAAATAAAGACACAGCAATGCCGCATGCTATCCTTAGAGAGAATGTCAGGGAACCCCCAGGGAACGCCTCTAAGTGGAGTGGAATTCTAGACCAAGGTGGTAACAGGTTCCCAGTTAGGCCATAGGCAGAGATGGTACCCAGGGACTGGGGTGGCAGGTGTCTGGACTGAGGGCCTCTCCAGCACCCTGATCTGAACTCAGAGCCTCTTCTGCATCCTGACCCAGACCCAGGGCCTCTCCAGAACCCTGATCTGGGTGAATTCTGATTAAGGTATACTTTTCATCCTATGTAGGAATATAGAGACATATAGAATGGAACATAAACCTGGAACTTAAAGTTGTGAGAAGGTAAACTAATTTAAAAATGGTGGAGATAAGGGTGGGCTGGGAAGGTGACTCAGTGGTAGAGCGCTTGCCTTGCATGCATGAGGCCCTGGGTTTGATTCCTCAGCACCACATAAGCAAAAAGAAAAAAGCCGGAAGCGGCGCTGTGGCTCAAGTGGTAGAGCGCTAGCCTTGAGCTGAATTGCTGAGGGACAGCACCCAGGCCCAGAGTTCAGGCCCCATGACCAGACCCAAAAAATAAAAATTAAAAAATGGTGGAGATTATGGAATCATGATAAAGAGTCAATCCATCCAAAAGAAGACTTAAAAATGGAAGCAAATGACCAAAGTATAGATGGAACAAATATATCAAACGAGTTCCAAGATAGTCGATTAAAATATTAAGGTACAGACTCCTCTTGCTAGGCTGAGGGTGTCAGATTGTCACCCCAAGTGCACTGAGACTGGGAAGCTGGGTTTTAGGATGAAGACACACACAGGATAAATGCAGAGGGGAATGAAATTTGCCACATGGAAAATAATCAGAAGATTTGTGGAATGGCAGCAGGACCAGCAGAAAAATAAGCACTCAGAACAAAAGTATGACTTTGGATACAAAGGAACTACACGAGAAAACAAGTGCCAAAGAGGCACCAGGCGGGCAGTGAGAGTCCGGCTTCAAGGTCGTGTCCACCGTCCTGGCTTCAAGGTCGTGTCCACCATCCTGGCTTCAAGGTCGTGTCCACCGTCCTGGCTTCAAGGTCGTGTCCACCGTCCTGGCTTCAAGGTCGTGTCCACCGTCCTGGCTTCAAGGTTGTGTCCACTGTCCTGGCTTCAAGGTCGTGTCCACTGTCCTGGCTTCAAGGTCGTGTCCACCGTCCCCGCAGGCGGAAGCCCACAGACACTGTGCATCAGATGACATTTCATAGGCACAGGTGACATTTGTTGTCTCCATAGTCTAGGCTGTAAAGCAACCCAACAGAATATGAGTGATGAAAAGCATATTTCATTTGTTTTCTGACTCCAAAGAATTAACTTAGAAATCAATATCGAAAAAATAATTAGAAAACCTCCAAACACCTGAAAAGACAAACCAAATACAGTCAAGAGATACATGGGTCAAAGAAACAGTGAGAATTCGCAAGTACTTTGCTTTGAATGAAAATGAAATTCAATATAAGTAAACCTGTGTGGCCCG